CGCGCGCGCGCGCGCGAGTGCTTTCCGAGGTTAATCTCCAAAGACCAAACAGAATTACTGCTTTTCCTTAAGACCGCCTAGTAGCGCGTGACTCTCCATCGTGGCACTGAGATTGCTGAGATTACTCAAGTTCCCCAGATTCCCCAGGTTGCCCAGATTGCCGAGATTCGGCTGATGGGCGTAGTTCCTGATCTGGTGAAGGCTGATCAGCTGATTCGGGAAGGACGTGGCGTTCTGGTTGCTGGTGGTGCCGGGCGTCACGCCGGACGACGAGGACGTCGGCGATGACTTCTGCGTCGTGTTGAACGCTTCGTAGAGGTACGGCCGGGACGCCGGGTGATGACTACCGGGATAGTGCAGGTGATTCAGCGGATTCAGCGGATGCTGCATCGAGGAGATCGAATTGATAGAGATCGACGATATGGGCGTGAAGGCCGAGCTGCTGTTAGGATGGTGATTCGCGCCCGGCTGTGGCGTCTGTTGCCTCGAGTCGTTCTCTATAGACTCGCCAGCGCGATGCCCATGCCCCGGCAGCAGCATCTCCGGATTCTGATTCTGGTGGTACTCCGCGTGATGATGCGGCAACCTCTCGTGCAAGTCCCCGATCACCGTATCCGGGCTGACCTTGGGCCAATAATGATCCTGATGATGGGCGGTCATCGCGTGTATCGATGGCCTGAGGCCCGTACCGATGATCGGCGGTCTCTTGTCCGTTCTCTCCGCGTGCTTCTGCATATGCTTCGCCAGATAGGTCTCCTGGGTGTAACTCTTGCCGCAGTACTGGCAGATGTGCGTTTTCAGATGCTTCGACTCCTTGTGCTTCGGTATGTGCTCGAGCAGACTCGGCTCGTCGGAGAAGCACTTGTAACAGGAGTTACACTTGTACGGCTTGTCGGTCTGGTGGCATCGGGAATGACTCTGTAGGTTGCTCAATTGGCTGAACGCCTTCGTGCAGCCAGGATGCCGGCACTTGTACGGCTTGTCGCCGGTGTGCGTGCGGATATGCTGCTGTAGGTGGCTCAGCTGGGTGAACTTCCGTTGGCAGATCTCGCAACGGTATGGCTTAATGCCCAGGTGGATCCTCGTATGTTGAGACAGGTATGAGGAGTTGGCGAACGCCTTGGAGCACTGCGTGCACTTGTACGGTTTCGCCTCGCGCATGTGAATCTGCGTGTGAAGCTGCAGATCCGCCTTGCTACCGAATATCTGCAACA